TGGATCATTTTTCTTACCCTATATTAGTTTAATAAAGTCCAATTTTGCAAAGTGAACAAAAATCTAGTGGTATAATGACGCTTACATTCCTCTAGGTCTTTTTTTAGATAATAAAGTTTTTCCTGGCTACCACATTAAAGTAATAAACTTTTTTTTCTTTTTTAATAATTTTATTGTGCTTTAGGTGAAAGTTTACAGGACAAGTTAGTTTCTCATACAAAAATTTATACACAAATTGTTCTGTGACGTTGGCTGCAATCCCCACAATGTGACAGAACTCTCCTCCTTTCCACCCTGGGTTTCCCGTGCCCATTCATCCAGTTTTCCTGAATTCTCATCTTGCTTTTGGGCAGGAGTTGCCTACTTGGTCTTGTATATTTGACTGCATTATGAGGCATGTTCCTCACGTGTGTTATTATTTCATAGGCCTGTCTAATCTTTATCTGAAAAGTAGGCTTTGGGAGTGGCTTCAATTCTGAGTTAGTAGGGTGTCCAGGGCCATAGTCTCGAGGGTTCCTCCAGTCTCTGTCAAACCAGTAAGTCTGGTCATTTTTTGTGAATTTCAATTTTGTTCTACATTTCTCTCCTGGTCTGTCCACGACTGTCTATTATGATCCCTGTCACAGCGGTTGGTGGTGGTAGCATAGCACCATCTAGTCCTTCTGGGCTCAGGCTGGTGAAGTAATAAACTCTTAAGAGTCTCTTTCTACACCTAGAACTTTCCCAGAATAGTAAAGGCATCAACTGGTGATTACTGATCACCAGTAAGCTGATACAGAATGATGCCCTGACAGGGATTCATAGAATTCTCCCACATTCTACAAGCCACTCCTGCATAAAAAATGTTTCAGCCACCCTCAAATTCAATCAACATTTAAAAAAAAAAAAAAAGAACTGGCAGAGGCATAGACAGAGCTCCAGGGGTTACAAAAATATGGTGAAAAAAAGATAATCCAACACAAATATGTGTTAGCTTACATTTTTTCCTGATTGAAGGAAAAATACATTTTTATAGCAGATAAAAAGTGGACAGGAATTTGCAGCCAAAATAAACTATAAAGTTAGGCTAAGTTAGGAATGAGTTGAGACAGCTAAAAAAGAAGTTGTTTTCTATTGTTCTTAGGCTAAAGAACACATTCTATCGAAAAGGAAGAAAGGAGAACTAAACCCCGCTGCCATCAAGTCGATTCCAACTCATAGCAACCCTATAGGACAGAGCAGAACTGCCCCCCAGGGTTACCAAGGAGTAGCTGGTAGATTCGAACTGCCGACCTTTTGGTTATCAGCTGAGTTCTTAACCACTGAGCCACCAGGGCTCCAAGGTAGCTGCTAAGCCGCAAGAAACTACTTAACACTTGAAATGTGACTAGCCCAAACTGAGATGTGCTCTAAGTGTAATACACATTTATTTTGAAGACCTGCTATAAAAAAAGAATGTATCTTGATTTTTTATGTTAATTACATGTTAAAATGAAAAATTTTCATACATTGGGTTAAATAAGTTATTATTAAAATTAATTTCACCCGTTTTTTGTTCTGTTTTCTTTTTCCTTTTTTTATGTGACTACTAGAAAACTTTAAATTACGTATGTGCTTGACATTGTATCTCTTCTGGCCAGTGCTGGGCTGGAGTCACACAGACCTGTGGTGAATTCCCAGTACCAATAATTTACGTGGCTCTGTGCCATTTAAACAGCTGTTTAACATTTGGGCTTTATTTTCCCCATCTGTATGACTAGAAGAGAGTCCTGGTGGCACAGTGGTTAAGTGCTCAGCTGCTAACTGAAAGGTCAGTGGTTCGTTGCTCCACAGGAGAAAGATGTGGCAGTCTGCTTCTGTAAAGATTGACAGCTTTGTTTAAACACAGAAGAAAACATTCTTTGGGGAGGGAGTGTGAGGGTTTTTTACTAACTATATAGTAGATAAGAATTATCTTAGGTGAAGGGAAGGACAGCACACACTACAGGGGAAGTCAGCACAACTGGACTATAAACCAAAGCTAAGAAGGTTCCTGAATACAATCAAACACTTTGAGGGACAGAGTAGCAGGGATAGGGGTCTGGAGACCATGCTTTCAGGGGACATCTAGATCAACTGGCATAACAAAGTTTATTAAGAAAATGTTCTGCATCCTACTTTGGTGAGTGGCGTCTGGGGTCTTAAAAGCTTGCAAGCGGCCATCTAAGATGCATCGATTGGTCCCAACCACCTGGAGTAAAGGAGAATGAAGAATGCCAAAGACACAAGGAAAGTAGTAGCCCAAGAGACAGAAAGGGCCACATAAACCAGAGACTCCATCAGCCTGAGACCAGAAGAACTATATGGTGCCTGGCTACCACCAATGACTGCCCTGACAGGGAACACAACAGAGATTCGCTGATAGAGCAGGAAAAAGTTGGGGTACAGAACTCAAATTCTAGTAAGAAGACCAGGCTTAATGGTCTGACACTTGAGGAAGCCCGGAAAGCACGGCCCTTGGATTCTCTATCAGCCCAGACTAAAACAATTTCCGAGGCCAACTCTTCAAACAGGGATTGAACTGGACTATGGGACATAAAGTGACACTCGTGAGGAATGTGCCTCTTAGCTCAAGTAGATACAAGAGACTAAACGGACAGCTTCTGTCCGGTGGTTAAGATGGGAAGGCAGAGAGGGTTAGGAACTGGTTGAACGGACATGGAAGTCAGGGGTGGAAAGGAGGAGTATGCTGTCACAGTATGGGGAGAGCAATTAGGGTCACATAACAATGTATGTATAAATTCTTGTATGGGAGACTAACCTGAAATGTAAACTTCATTTAAGCTACAACAATAAAAAAAAAAGAAAAGAAAAAGATTTACAGCCTTGGAAATCCTATGGGACAGTTCTACTCTGTCCTATAAGGTCGCTATGAGTCGGAATTCTATTCGAAGGCAATGTGTTTGGTTTGGGTATAACTATGATAATGTCCCCTTCCTCTTCAGGTCATGACTGAAGATCAATGAGCTCTTAGAACACAACGGCCAGAACACAGTAGAAACTCAGTAAACGGCAGTCATTTTTAATTGGCAAAAAAAGGACCGCAAACTCTGCCAATGACGCTATCGCTCTCAAACAAGTACTAAATAATCTCAAAAGTTTGTCAATGGGTTAACAATGGATTGCTCTTTTGACTAAGTACAGCCTGTCATTACACCGCAACATTCCTATTCCTGACAAATACCCACTGATCATACTAACCTGACTCTATGACTTTGACCAATACTCCAGTACTATATTCCAGTGATTTTATTTTTACATAAACTACTTTTTTCTAATTTAAAGGTCAGTTGTTTGCTGCTATTTAATATCCAGCAAAAAGAACCAATAAGTATCAGAGGGATTTCTTCGGTTATACTTAGCAATTTTAAACTAAGGAGAAAGAAAAAGCAGCAAACCCAGAATTCCTACCAAAAATGAGGTTCCTAAAATCTCCAAGTCTAAAAACTACTGAAAACTCATGTGGAAGATGTTAAAGGAAGCTTGGTACCTACCTAAGATGAACATATTAATATTTCTAATATCAACCTAGAACTTAATCAGGAAAAAATTAAAATAAAAAATTTACTTGTGGCTTCTAAATTGGCAAGAATATAATAAAACTTACTGCATAAATCAGATGTGCAGAAGGAAAGAAGGAAGACATTTAAACCGACCCACAGTACCACAGTATGTAACCCTCTGTGGACAGGCTGTCTTGCTCGTCACAGTACGATTTTAAGGAAGCACATGCATGTAGGAAGCCTGAAAACTTACTATCTTTTAATGGAAGGGGGAGAAATGAACAATGATGACAGAAAAAGTATGGTGGAAAGGAGTGAACAGACTGGCTTTCAGCAGAGCCTAGCACTCAAACATACACCAAAATTGCCATGAACATAACAGATGTGACTTGATACTTTGCGTGTCCTTAAGTTAAAGCAAATTACCCAACTTCTCTCAAAGTTCCTCTTCCCCAATAAAAACTAGTTAGCCATGAAAGAAATTAAGCACTGTGGCTACATTCATCAACCACTGAAGTCCCAAAAATTATTGTGGCTACTAGTCATGTCCATGGGTACTATCCTGGAGAGGTATACAGCATGACTTAATATTAATGAGATGGATGGATTTCCAATGTGGTTTAGCAGCAGGGAGAGAGAAAAAATAAATAAAAAGGCACCACTCTGCCAAACCATGTGGCTACCCACAGCTGAACCTTGAACCAAAAGTTCTTGACGCTGTTCACAAAGTATCCTGCCTCCCCTCCTCAAATCACTGAGGTAGGATCACATCTTATACTTTTGTAATGCCTCTCCCACGTGCCTAGCACAGTGCTAAACATAAGCTACACACTAAACAGATTTGTTTGGACTAATTCTTAAGTGTCCACTTAGGCAAACAGTCAGTGCAGTGGACATAGTTATTCTTACTGAATGCTCTCAATTGAGGTTTTAGAATGTCCTTCCCTCTTTCCCTCCCCAGGCCCTCCAAGAAAATATCGTTGCTCTGTCCTCTGTGTCCCCACCTCACTTTCTTCAAATCTTTGTAATGACATTTACCATTCTGACTCATCGTTTATCTATTTACAAATCTGCCTCCATCTGTGAATTCTGAGCTCAAGAAAAGGGTCATGCAAGCTGAACTACAGAGTTTTGAGTACATCAGCTCTCTTCATAGATCTCCCATCACTTTTTAGAAGCTAATAATCAACATACTTGAGTAAAAAAAAAAAAAAAAAGCCATTTCTTTCAGAAATTTAGTTTGGAAACTAAAGAAAAATTATCAGTTTCTGGAGTAACTTGACTACCACCTCAAATCTGAAACCAAAATATAAGAAACAAACACTCCAACATCAGAGAACCCCACCAAAAAAACTCACACAGCAGCTGTCTGCAGACATCCTACTACTCTGAAGTTACACTTAGTGTTTTTTCCCATGATAAAGCAGCAATTCCACAAAACACAAGCCCAGAATGAACTTTAGAAAACAGAATACTAACCCTTCTTCTCATCATATATTTCCTAGGTACAGTGGAAAGACCAAAAGAAAAAGCCTCAAGCAGATGCCAACGGTCTCCTAGAGTTAGGACATCCTCTTCTCTCAATTTGTCAAGTGCTCAAAGACAAATATTGAAAATGAAACAAGAACAAACTAACCACTTATCTTAGAAATGCATCCACATCAAGAGAACGCTTTCTGACATAAGAACTAACAAAACACACAGTCCCTCAATGTGTTTATTCAATTTTGGAGTTCCGAAACTCTTCCCAAATTACATAATAAAAGAACACTCTGTACCTGTATCATTTGAACTCACAGTATATTTCCAATCTTCAGTCTACATCTCACTATTTACATCTCACTACAACTCATTTTTATCTACGTGTGGGAATTTCTTTGGCTAATTATCATTGCAATAAAAAGCTATTGACTATTTCAGAGGAAAAAAACACAATGATCATATTCCTCTTCCATATTTTTACTGTGCAAGTATTCATAAGTTCTCATTTTGTTTTCCCCTCATTTTAAAAACTACTTCACACAATCAGCAATTCAATTCTACCACAAAAGGCAGTTTTAGAAATGAACGGTCTATCTTTACAACAGTTTAAATTTGCCCCCTGTCAAAGCCTATTTACATAATACACATCTGAAAGACAAGTACCAGTTATACACTCGTCATAGTAATGTTGAGTGAAAGGAAGACTGGTTTGAGGATACAGTATGAATGTCAGAGGGAAATCTGGGAATCAAGTTAGAGTTCGTCAAGACCAAAAGAAAAAAGAATCACACCTTTCTTCCCTGCTTTTTGGGCCAAGATAGGTACAATGATTCACACCCTTATTTCCACTTCCACTGAGGCTGTTAAAAAGGTTAGAGAAAACAATAACAGTTTAATGACAATACAGGAGTATAATGTGTAATATTAATGAAGCTGTTCACATTAATTTCAAAGCAAATTTACCAAGACAATTTTAAAGTTAGTAGTATAAAGTTGATTTGCTTAGGCATGTGGAACACTGTTAATACAAATGTTTGCAAGGTTTTTTCAGTCAGCAAACCCACCAAGCAGAAACAAAAGTGTTCTGCAGATGATTCCAAAACAAGAGGGTCTGAACACACAGAGCTATTCTTACCATCTGGAGCTAAAACTGGCAATGTGTGTTCCTGTGCAGGGTGCCTCTTGGTCAAGTCACTTCCCTTTTTCAGAACCTGCTTTCACACTTGCTTTCCTTTCAGTCACCCGATGGTCTCAGTACAATAATCCAAGAGGCCTGGAATCCGAGAGGCAGTGCTATTCTCTTCACATTCACCCGACTTCAACTCCATTCACATTCCCTTTTCTCCCAATGAGATAACTCCTTTCTGATCAAAATAACACCTTCAGATGATCTAAGGTTTCTATACCTCTGAATGAAACCAAGAAGAGGGGCTAAATTAAAGCCATCCTGTAAATCGGCCCAACCTTGAGCTAGATTTACATATTAACTACAATTTATCTGTAAGAAAGTAAGCCTACAGACTTCCAGTCTATTCTGAAGGTCTCCTAACCTTCTAAGGATTTGGTTCCACAAAACGGTACAGGTATGGCCTTGATTAAAATGAAAACATGGGTAGGTGTTTTCAACTCTGCATGAATAATCTTCAGATATCGGCATTCTGTTTTTCTTCTAATGACTGATTTGTTATGTGGATGCAGTGCTGATTCATAAAATACACTTTTCTGTGAGGCAGCAGAGCATCATGATGAGGGGCTCAGGTTTTTGAATCAGACTAGAACTAGGTCTGAAACTTGGGTCTGCTCTTTTAAGCCAATTACTTAACCTTGCTGTGCCTCAGCTCTCCTATTTGTAAAACTTGGGTAATACACATGTTGCAGAAGAAAGCTTAGAGGAAATAACATAGGCCCTGCGTTCAGCATAGAGCCGGGCACATATTAAGCATCTTTTAAATGTAACTATCAGTATAATACAAATAAAAGTAAATTATTTGTCTTTTCTTCTGTGTTGTTTCTTCTTAAGATTTTTAAATAAATCAGAAACTAAAGTATTCCTCAGGAGCTTATTTCAATCCACTGTAACCTATAATCAGTGGTATTTTGAAACCCCTTTCACTCTTAAAAATTGAAGATCCCAAAGAGTTTTTGCTTATGTGAGTTATATTTAATGACACTTATTGTATCCAAAATTAAAATGACAAATTTATAAAATATTTATTCATTTAAAAATACCCAAAAACTCATTACCTATTAAAAATTAACATACGAAAAATAACTATAATTTCCAAAATAAAAAAATTAATGAGAAACTAGTATTGTTTTACATTGTTGCAAATCTCTTTAATATCTGGCTTAATGAAAGGCAACTGGATTCTTATAGCGACTTCTGCATTCAAACTGTTACGTATGCTATTCTGGTTGAAATGTTATGAAAAACAAAATCGAGCCTCATACAGATATGCAGTTAGAAAAGGGAGAAGTATTTTAACAGCCTTTTCAGATAATTGTGATATTATTCTTTGATATATCAAAACTTACAAGTGGTAGATTCTTAAAGGTTAGGTGCAATGTGGAACCTGAAACTGTGTCAATGACTTTTTCGTACTCTTTTACATTTAAAGTCACTGATCTGTCTTTCACTTTGAATCTCTTAGCTATGCATGATTCTTTGATATGCATGGTTCTTTCAGTCGTGCATATCTTCCATATATGTACACATCTGATGATACAATGTTAAAAAATTACATTTGTTAAGATCATTACATAACTCGTAAGAATGTTTTTAAATACTGGGAGGCTGTCAGGCTCACAATGGTGAATACAAGTTTTCCAAAAGTCTAATTTTCACTTGAAAGCTTGACTTTTATTACTGGCAACAAATAAATACTACCTGTTATTTTCCTTGAAGTAATAGGCTCACTTTGTTCATTTTTAAGAAAATGTCTGCCAAATACCCATGTTCTGAATAACCATGGTTGGTTAGTCTTTCTTTCAAGTAAAAATGGTGTCTCCATAGAAAAAAGCAGCTAATTCAGTTCACAACTCAATCGCACGGAAGTTTTTCCTCATGACAACCATAGTACCTGGGTGTACAGCGGAAGTGTTGTGTGCATACTTCCCTTTTTGTCACACAAAATACTGAAAAATTTGTACTCAAAGATTGAGCTTTAAAAAAAGTAATAATTTTTAATGCTTCATCAAGGACATAAAGTGAAACTGACTTTTTTTTTCACTCTGAGTGCAAAATTGTTAAGAATACAAGGACTACTAGAGTTCAGTTTGCAGCCGTGCCTTGATTAATGCTAAAGCATCAGCAGTTTCACCCACTGCTGCTTTTGCACTATAAAAAAGTAACTAACATCTAATAATATTATGAAAATAGTGTTGACCTCACAGACTCACTTGAAAGGGTCTCAGGAACCCCCAAGGGTCCAGGACTACACTTTGAGAACCAATGTTACAGATCAATGAATACTGACACAGTCATGTGTCATTAAACGTATACAATACCTTCCGTGAAGTAGGATGTTTAGTGATCTGGACACTGTGCAAACATGCCTAAATCAGTGAATCAACAGCATTCACTGAGCTTCCACTTTTCTATTGTTTAATAACCTTGTGTTTCACTTCCAAATCAATACTTCTCTTTTGCCTCTTGCTGCTACAAATTTCTCAATGGAAATTTCAAACCTCACTCTCCTCAAATGCCCCATTTTCAACTCTCTTCCACTTCTCACAGTAAACAGAAGCCATGAAACCAATAACTGCATAAATTTCCTCTAGTTACAGTGAACCAAAACAAACAAACAAATCCACTGCCGTGAAGTAGATTCTGACTCCTAGCGACCCTACAGGACAGAAAACTGCCCCATAAGGTTTCCAAGGCTGTAAATCTTTTATGGAAGCAGACCGTCCCATCTTTCTCCCAAGGAGCAGCTGGTGGGTCCGAATCATGGGTTGGCAGCCAAGTGCTTTAACCACTGCACCACCAGAGTGCCTTAGTTACAGTGAAATAGATGCAATTCCTTCTGCCTTAGGCCAGTTTCTTCACCTATACTCTAAATCCCAACTACTCTCATCTTAAGAGGGGTAATCTACACTATAAAGGAGAGACTAGAAAACAGCAGATACCAAGATACACATGGACACTATATGTAACCAATTTTTTTCATATTGTTTGACCTTTCACAGCAGCATTTGAAAGTGCATATATCTGAAGAAAAAAAAAAAAAACAACCCATGAATCTCCACCTAGCATTCTGACTTCTCAGGCTTTTACATGTTTGATTACCTCTGTTTACTCTGGTATGGGACCACCGACATATATGCGGTCAGACGTTGCCAGAACGGACGCTATGCAGCACATGACTGTATAGCAATTACCTAAATGTAATAGGGAGAAAACTATGGGACCTAATCTTCTGTAAAACTAGGATAACAAACATAACAAATGCACAAATAAAAAAAGACAAAACAGATACATGGGACCTCAGAAAAATTAAAAACTTATGCTCATCCTAGAGCCATTAAGGTTTTATGAACCCCTGAAACTACTGCCCTGACATAATCTTTAAACCTAAATTTGAAAATATTCCCTGAAGTCTACTTAAAACCAAACAATAGTTTAGCTTAACTAGTAAACAATGTCTGCCTTGAGCATCATGCTCTCTTAAGAACTATCTACAAGGGATCAAATTGACAACAGCAACTTGAAAGATTAGATAGGCACCTTAGGGGGCAGTGAATTTATGTTAATGGGGGAGGAATAACTCAGAAAAGGAGGTTGAGAAGGGCTGCTTAACTCAAAGAATGTAATCAGTGTCACTGAATTGTACATGTAGAAACTGCTGAATTGGTGTATGTTTTGCTGTGTATATTCTCAACAAAAACAACAAAGTTTTAAAAAAAGACTTTATTAAGAGGGTAAATAGACAACCGACTGGAAAAAAATCTTTGGAAACAACTTATCTGATAAGGGTCTACTCTCTAAAATCTACAGAAACAGCAACAACTCAATAACAAAAAGACAGACCACCCAATCACAAAATGGGCAAAGGACATGAACAGAACCTTCACCAAAGAGGACATCCAAACAGCCAGTAAATGATGAAAAAAAGATGTTCACAATCATCAGCCATTAGAGAGATACAAATCAAAACTACAATGAGATACCATCTTAACCCTGGCACTAACTAAAAACACAGGAAACAACAACTGTTGGTGAAGATGTGGGGAGACTGGAACGCTTATCCATTGTTGATGGGACTGTAAAATGGTACAACCACTATGGAAAACAGTATGGCATGTTCTCAAAACACTAGAAACTGAACTACCCTGTATTCCAACAATCCCACTACTCCTAGGTATATACCCCGAAGACCAAAAAATAATGACACGAAAAGACATATGCACACCTATGTTCACTGCTGCTTTATTTACAATAGCAAATAAATGGAAATAATCAAAGTGCCCATCAATGAACAAATGGATAAACAAATTGTGGTATACACATACAATGGAATACTATGCAACCACAAAGAACAATGACAACTCCGGGAAACTTTTTTTTTTTTTTTTAGTATATTTTTTTTTTACTTTATTGTTGTACTTTAAGTGAAAGTTTACAATTCAAGTTAGTCTCTCACACAAAAATTTACACAGACATTGTTATGTGACCCTAACTGCTCTTCCTATACTGTGACAGCACATTCCTCCTTTCTACCCGATTTCCCATGTCCATTCAACCAGCTACTGACCCTCTCTGCCTTCTCATCTCACCTCCGGACAGGGGCTGCCTACTTAGTCTCATGTATCTACTTGAGCTAAGAAGCACACTCTTCACGAGTATCATTTTATGTCCCACAGTCCAGTCCGATCTTTGTCTGAAGAGTTGGCCTCGGGAATGGTTTTCATTCTGGGTTGACAGAAAGTCCAGGGGCCGTGCTCTCTGGTGTTCCTCCAGTTTCAGTCAGACCATTAAGTCTGGTCTTTTTACTAGAATTTGAGTTCTGCACCCCACTCTCCAGGAAACATAACATGGATAGACCTGGAGGGCATAATGCTAAATGAAATAAGTCAAGTATATACGGACAAATATTGTAAAATCCCTCTTTTATAAGACAAGAATGGATATACAGAAAGAGACCAGTGTTCACTGGTGGTTACCAGGGAGAGGAGAGGGAGGGAAAAGTATGCTTTAGATTGTAGAGAATTGTTATTTTGGGGGATGGGAAAAGTGGCTCTGAATGTGGATGCAGTGAGCACAGCACAACCAAAGTAAAAACGAGTATTTGAGCACATATGGACAGGTAGAGGCATACTGGTATACAGGTAGGTACAGGCATGTACATAGGTACGAACAGATAGAAGTATCTATAAACCAGAAAACCAAACCCGTTGCCGTCAAGTCGATTCCAACTCAGAGCAACCCTGTAGGACAGAGTAGAACTGTCCCATAGGGTTTCCAAGGAGTGCCTGGTAGATTCGAACTGCCAACCTTTTTGGTTAGCAGCCATAGCTCTTAACCACTACACCACCAGGGTTTCCAGAAGTATCTATAGGTATGTGTAAATACAAATGTGTGGCTACAGGCACATATATTCAATGAAGACACAAATATGGATATTCCTCAGACATAACCAAACACCTTTCAAGATTGGGTTTCTGGGTTTGAAGGCTTAGGACCATAATCTCACGGGACAACTCAGTCAACCGGCATTACATAGTTCACAAAAATCATGATCTGCTTCCTAGTGAAGTGAGTAGCATCCGGGGTCTTATAAGCTTGCTAGTAGACATCTAAGACACAGCTATGGGTCTCTACTCACCAGAAGCAATAATGGTAAGAAAGAAACCAAAAGCTCAAAGAAGAAACAGGTCTATATCAGCCACAACCTCATCTACCCTGAGACCAGCAGAACTAGATGGTGCCTGGCTAACACCACTGACTGTTCTGACCAGGGTCACAACAGATGGTCCCAGACAGAATGGGAGAAAAACGTGGAGAACTCAAATTCTCATTGAAAAAAAAAAAAAAAAAAGGCCAGACAAACTGGAACAGCAGAGAACAGAGGACTCCATTAGACTATTGCCCTGAGACACTCTTCAAACCTAGAGCCAAGCCTATCCCGAGACCACCATTTAGCGAAATGGCACAGTGGCACACAAAGGATATTACCCATAAGATCGGTACTCTACTTAAATATCATCAATATGAGACCAAAAGGTAGGCAATTACTCAAAAACAAAGATGAGAAGATACAAGGCAGGAAAACTAGAGTACTGGAAATGGAACAAACAGAACACAAACAGAATGTTGATGCATCACAATAAATGTAACTAATGTCACTGAACAGTCTGTGCAAAAATTGTCAAATGGGAACCTAACTTGTGTAAATTTTCACCAAAAACTCAATAAAATAATTTTTTTTTTTTAAATTACCTATGTGTATCCACCACCTATCTGTCAGTCTGTCATACTGTGGTAGTTTGTGTGTTGTTATGATGCTGGACACTACACCACCAGTATTTCAAATAGTAGCAGGGTCACCATAATGGATAGGTTTCGGGGGAGCTTCCAGACTAAGACTAGGAAAAAAGGCCTGGCAATCTACTTCTCAAAATTGGCCAGTGAAAACCTTAATGATCACTCTGACATAGTGCTGGAAGATGAGCCTCCTAGGTTGGAAGACACTCAAAATACACAGTAGCCACAAATACGGACTCAACCATACCAATAATCTTGAAAGTGGTGCAGGACCGGGCAACATTCTGTTCTGTCGAGTCAGAGCCCACTCCACAGCAAATAACACCACCACCACCTATGTGCACAGCAACATACAGAGTATGAGACATGGTTACTATTCAAGGAACTAAGAGAGACAGAAAATCTTAAAAAAAACAAAAACAAAAAAAAAAACACAATACAAAGCCATTTATAATAATTACCCAATTAAATAGCCTAGAAAATAAATACTATAATCATTCTTATGAAAGAAAATGATCTGTATAGGCTGGAGCATCTACAGAAGGATTAAAGGAGGAAATGGATTTGAGTTAGGCCACAAAAAAAAGGTAGAGGTGAGATCATTCCAAGCAGTGGGCAGAGCAAGAGTGCAGGCATGTTCAGGGCACAGTGAGTAAAATATGAAGCATCACAAAGGAGAAATGTCCCACGTGTCAAGCACCTTAGTTATCTTTTCTGCCAAAGAAGGTGAAATGCCTTGACAAAAATCACCAATGTAGTATAGTGACCTAGGAAGTAAAAAGGTATAAAGGAAGGTTAAGGTTAGGGCAGAAGGAGTCTGACTGCCAAACTTAGTAGTTTGAACTTGATCCTGGAAGCATCATGAAGTCCCTGAAGGGGTTCAGTTTGAATTTCTGAGGTGTTTTGGAAAGGCCAATCTAAGTAGTGTGCAGGAAGAATGAAGGTAAGAGAAATCTGAAAGAAGACCCATTAGGAAGCCACTGTCACCACGACCCAGGTGAGAGTCGACAAGTAAGGGCATAACCAGAGTGATGGCCCCCAAGACAAGTGTAAGGGATGTTACACAAAAGACGATGTGGCAGAACACGGTTCTAACTGGACAGCTGGTGAGGGGTCACTAACCAAGGGAAATAACAGCCATGAGGCTTATTCTAACAATCGCAGTTATGGGCCATAAAGGAAAGAGGGAGACACCTTAACCACTATGCCACCAGAGCTCCTTTCCGATGAATAAATGAGCTCTAAAGCAGATTGTATATAAAAATAAAAAAAGAAAGAAGGGGAAAAAAAAAAACAGATTATAGGCAAGAACAAGACCATACAGAAAGACATAAACATCTAAAATGAGCTCAAATGTTACCTCCTCCAGGAAACCTACCCCATCCCCATGCCAGAATAAATTATGTCCCTCAGTCCCCTCCATTAAGGCCCTCATCATCTCTTCCCTAGTAAACTACTGTAATGGTCTCCTCTAACCTGTCTCTGAGAGGCAGTGCCACCCCCGTCAAGTCACTATCCATACTGCTCCCAGAATGAGCTATCCAACTCTACCCTTCCTTTTGCTTCAGGAGGATAAACTTAATTTCCTAGCACAACACAGACACTTCCACCCACCTCATCTTGACCTTTCAACCTAATTCTGTGACCACACACCACCCACACTAAATAACTGGGCCACACCTCACTACTCACTGTGTCCAAACACATCAGTCTTTGACATCTCTGTATATTTTGCATATACTGCAAGGACTGCCATTCTATTCCCCCTCTCCTCAATCCATGCCTGGCAAACTTCTACTCATCCTTTAAGATCCAGTTCAAATGTCACATCCCTCATCTGTGTTCCTTAAAACTTTATAAATATCACCATTGTACCACATATTTTCATCTCCCTCACTATACCCAAAAAACATCTTTGCCTTCCTAGTGCTTGACGCACATTCACTTGT